AAATAAATAAATAAATAAATAAATAAATAACTGTAACTAATGATTTTTTAAAAAGGCATTATAGAATTAAGTTCTTTCTTTAACGAAGAACTCAACTAAAAGAACCCTCTCTGACCATAGCCATGCACCCCAGACCTGGCACGTTTAAGGTTCCCCAGTTTTCTAGTGCTTCAGAGGAGTGTAACACTTCCGTTTCTTCTCTCTGATTCTGTTGAGTAAGCTTCCTTTACCTCTTTGGGCTTTCCCTCCAGTATTTCGGCTTCCTTCTATTTTTTCTAAAGTGTTCCTCTCCTCTGTGCAGCTGACTGCACCGTGGGGTGGACCTCCCTGCCAGTTTATAATGTCATGGCTGTACTTCCTCTCTCTGGTTCTCTCGTCCGTGCACCTGTTGAAAGTTTACAGGTGACTTCACTGGAGTTTTCATTTAAACTCTAAAACAATGTCCTTGAGCTTTAACCAACCAACCAGAGCCTCATCTTCTTTTGACCTGTAAGGCAACAAAAACCACATAACATTTAATGTCTATCTAGTTTGTGTGGTAATCTTTTCTTTTTGGGAAGTTGAAAGCACAGAGATTCCCCGAGTTAAGCCTGTCCCTGTCTTGGAATGTAGGAGTAGCGGGGCCTCACAGAACCACCACAGATTGGCCTTAGAGCTGTGTGTGACAGAATTTTCCTGTGGACACTCAGCACAACACACACCTATTTACCACAGAAAGGAGCCCAGAATAATGCAAAGGATGATGGTACCAGGTCCAGTTGGTGAACCAGTGAGTGTGGGTATTGGGACTACTAACAGAATTATAGGAAGGGACCTGCTTCCAAACAGCAGAGATAACTCAAAAGCAGCTGCATCACCAGACGGCCCATCTTAATACAGGTGAAGCTCCCGGCCACTGCCCCCGACCTCTTCTATAGGGCTTGCATTCAGTCACAGTCCCAGCGTCTATTCCAGCAGTCTGGCTGGGCAGAGGCTCCACCCCCAGCAGCTGTTCACTCTTACACTGATAGGGAGCGCTATAGTCTTCCAGGTTTCTATTCTTTCTAGATTTGTGACCTCATGTTTATCTGCAAGAGGGCAAACATTTCAGTTTATTTACTTAAATTTTGTAAGGATTGGTTTTGACCATTTCAGCATCAAAACTAAGACAAGGATCAATGTGATGATGGTCAAAAAGATGCCGCTGTATCCAAGTGTGTGTACTTCTTGACCTCTGCATGAACTTTATAATGTGAAGACTACATCAGTCCCTAACATGAACCTGAGGGCATCAGACGCCCTTTTTCATTTCTTCCAAGATGGCCACGTTGAATGTAAAAAATTGTGTTTTCTGGTCCTGGAGAGAGAACTGAGCATTTGAGAGTGCATGCTACTGCTCTGTCAGAGGACCCAGGTTTGTTTCCCCACTCTCACATAAGGCAGCTTGCAGCTGCCTGAACTCCAGATCATCCCTCTGGTTTCTCAGTATAGTACACTCAGGTGCACACACAGCAACACACACACACACACGCAGGCACACACACTAGAAATAAAACTAAAGTCTTTAAAAGAGAACAGAACACCTTATGCGCCTTGTCAGTGCTGTCCATAAGAACCAGTGGCCAAGCTTTAGCTAGAACGGCTTCAAGATCAGAATTTTGTTACTTAAAATTTTCAATTATACTATAAATTAGAAGGACTTCGGCCTAATTTAAGAATTCTAGTTTATGTAAGGACTCAGTATTTTTTGCCTAATTATTTTGAATTATAATTGTTTTTAATGTGTATTTAAGGCCAGAGGTGTTGGATTTCCTGGGGGTGCTGAGTTACAGGCAGTAGTTAGCCACCCAAGGTAGGTACTGGGATTTGAACTGAGGTCCTCTGCAATAGCAGAAGATGCTGTTGAGCCTTCTCTCCAGCAGGACTCAGTCATCTTACAAGCAAATTAGGTACTGTGTTTACAATATAAAGACACAAGCACATAGTATATACATAGAGATATCTCAAGGTTTTTCTAAGTCTTAGTTAGATCTATGATTTGTTGGGTTTTTTTTTTAAATAACCAGATTTTGCTGCTCTTATATGAGGGCTTGTTACACCATGCAGTGCAGCACAGTTGACTTATGAAGGGACACACCTTTAATGTAAGCTGATGTCCCTGTGCCTACCAGTCATTAACAGACCATAGCTCCTCAGCTAATGGTGGGGGCTTGTCTGCCCTTGCCCCATCTATGCTGGAATGTGGACTATCTTGCTGTTGTCTACACAAACACTGTTGCTGTTAGTTTAAATGTAGTTCTATCATGTCCAGAAAACACTGTTTCAGCCCAAGCTCTGGCTGCAGCAGTCATTCTTTCCCCTGTTGCTCAGTGTTTCCTGAGAGTGGGGGATGGCATGGTGTGGTGCAGATGTCCTGTTGAAGCCTGAGCACTCCACAGACACTTTCTCTTCATGTTAACCAGTTGTGAGTTTCTGTGTTTATCAGTGTCCGATGCACATGGAAATACCTCTCATGAGGTGCTGCACTTACCTATGAGCATAGACAGGTATTGAAATTGTCAGCATTTAATAGAATTACAGTAGATTTACTGCTGAGGCCTGGGACCTCTCCAGCAGACTGACAGGACAAGACATATTTTCCCTTTATGTAGGGGGCCTTAAATCCAGTTAGAATACATACAATCTGTTACCCCTATAACATTCATGATACAATTGCACCAGTGGACTTAAGTTTCAGCTGGTTGTTACTGTAGCGTTCACAGTTTACTGGTAATGACAAGTGTTGATGGCTTCCCCTCCTCAGCAATAGCATAGTGGGCAAACAAGGGCAATGCTGAGAGCCAATGTCAAGTTTTTAGGTGGGGGTGGAGTGCCTCTGGGACACTCTTGACCAACAGCTTCTGGCATGGGCTTTTTATTTGACATCCTATGGCATTCACAGTGCTCTGTGTAGGGGGGTGGTTGTGGACATTTATTATAGACATTCATTTGCAGAAATTTGGTCAGTCAAGTATTTTATTTATTTTTTCCAAAACAGGGTTTCTCTGTGTGGCCTTGGCTGTTCTGGAACTTGCACTGTATGCCAGATTGGCCTCGAACTCAGAGTTCTCTGCCTCTGCCTCCAAGGGCTGGGATTAAAGGTGTGCACAACCACTGCCAGTCCAAGTATTTTACTTTAATGTGTGCTTTAGAAATTATAGAAGTGATATGTTGGTGAATTAGAGCTCTGTCTAAAGACATATGTCATCTTTCCGTTTCTTTAATGATCTAGTAGAATTCTCACATGAAAGTGGTGTGATGGCCGAATGAAATGGCTCAGTTTATCAATTTGGCACACGTGGGAAATGGGAATCTCAGTTGAGGAACTGGCTCCATCAATTTGGCCTATGCATATGCCTTCGGGGTATTTTCTTTTCTTCTTTCTTTTTCTTTTTTCATAATTTGGAAATCTGAGTCTTAAAGAATTTTTTTTTGATTTATTTATTTTATGTATATAAATACACTGTAACTGCCTTCAGACACACCAAAAGAGGGTATCAGATCCCACTACAAATGGTTGTGAGCCATCGTGTGGTTGCTGGGAATTGAACTCAGTACCTCTGGAAGAGCAGTCAGTGCTCTTAACCACTGAGCCACCTCTCCAGCTCCAGGGCATTTTCTTGGCTGTTAATTGATGAAGGAGGGCCTACCCCAGTGTGGGTGTTGACATCCCAGGTAATGGGGGCTCGAACATGGAGGAAAAGGATAGCCCAACAAGCCAGTGAACTGAGTTCATGCATGCTCTCTACTTCAGTTCTTGCCAGCACACTCCTTCCTTCAGTCTCCTCCCCTAGTTCCCATCATTGATTGACTGTGACCTGTAATCCATGTAAACACGTTGCTGCCCAAGTTACATTTGGTAATGGTGATATGTCACAGCAACAGAAAGCAAAATGAGACAGCACTGAGAAGAACTGCTTGTCGTGAGTCCTGTTTGCTGTTTGATTAAGGAACCCAGCTGTATACTTTCTAATATTTGCCTTCAGTACAACCACACAACATGTATTCAGGTTCCTAACAAGTTGTAAGAAGTATTAACTATTGGCCTGATGAGTTGGCTTAGTGGGTAAAGGCACAAGCTATGCAACCCTGATGGTCTGAATTCAATCTCTAGAGCCCACTCCCACAAGATGTTGGTGATGTCCACTAGAGTTCTGTGGCATGCTCACACTTTCCACCCACATTATACACTAAACCAACACTTTAAAAACACGAGTAGTGTCTACCAACCCAAGTAATGTAGACAGGCAATATGTTGGGTTCTAAGCATACAGCATCCCTCTGATGACCATGAGATCATTGCTAGGATTCTTGGGGAGAAGAGGATGTTGTTTTTTTTTTAACTTAGGGTATAGTTGTCATCAACTGTTTGAGAAATCTACGCTACTCTTTACAGCTCTGGTGGGAAGGAATCCCTCTAATCTCAGTTTTCAGATATCAGGAAAACTGTTGTGTCCAGCATTTCTAAGCACACACATTCTAAGGTCAGCTGATACTGAACCCTGTTGGGTACTAGGCAATAGAACTTGGGATGACAGTTGTTAGAACAATGCAGTGCAGAAAGGGGAACTGCACAGCCATCTGCACGAGAGCTTATCCTACTTTGATGTTTCTTTCCCAGAAAGCTCCAAGTTACTTTTGGCATCTGTGTTTGTGGGAATCTTGCTCTGTATGAGCAGCAGAATGTGATGACCAGGACAACTTGAACCCTTGTTTTGTTTTGTTTTTGTTTTTCGAGACAGGGTTTCTCTGTGTATCCTTGGCTGTCCTGGAACTCACTTTGTAGACCAGGCTGGCCTCAAACTCAAAAATCCACCTGCCTCTGCCTCCCAAGTGCTTGGATTAAAGGCCTGCGCCACCATTGCCCGGCTCCAACTTGAACCCTTGTGGGACATAGTGCCATGTCAGCTTCTTATTAATTCTGTATACCTCTGTGGTTCCATGAGGCTGACTTTCCTGGAAATGTATGTGTGTGCTTTTAGGAGTCAGTGAGCTTTGAGGATGTGGCTGTGAAGTTCACGCAGGAGGAGTGGGCTGTGCTGGACCCATCCCAGAGGATGCTGTACAAAGATGTCATGCAGGAAACCCTGAGGAACCTGGCCTCTCTAGGTACACATGGGCATCGGCTTCTCTATTCCATCAGGGACAAGTGTTTCTAGATAATCAGTATTGATGTATGAGTTGCAATATGGAAAAGGGAATTGGGGAGAATTTGTCAGATGGGATATACTGGATGTTTAGCTGGCATCCAGTACTTTTTCTCTAATTAATAATTAGTAATTGTTTTTCTGTGTCTGCATTTTAGGAAACAAGTCGGGCAAACAGAAGGTTGTAAATGAGTATGAAAAACTGTGGAGAAAACTAAGGTAATTTGTTTCCCACAAGATAGCCATATTTCACAATGTTGTTATGTTAGAACATTTTACAGAGAAGTAAAAGATGGACTTGATGTCAAGCATCAAGCCAATTTCATCTCCAGAAAATTTCTCTCAAAATTGTGCTTTACACATCAGCACTAGAAGATGCCATATATTACAGTATAGAGAACTAGAATATGTTGATGTCAAATGTAATGTATTACATAGCTCATATGATACATACTTTATGCCACACAGTGTATCTTAGTTTGGTTTTGTATTGCTGTATTCAGGACCATGAGCCAAGGCAGCATGGGGTGGAAAGGGTTAATTTCACCTTGTCTTAGCAGTCCATGATCAAAGGAAGTCAGGGCATGAACTCAAGTAGGAGCCTGTAGGCATGAACTGAAGCCAAGGCCATGGAGGAGTGCTGCTTACTATCCAGCCCTGTGTTTACTCAGTTTTTTTTGTTTTGTTTTGTTTTTCATGTACCTCATGACCCCTACCCCAGGAATTGTACTAGTCACAATGGGCTGGATCATCAATAAAGAAAGTACTCCACAGGCATCCTTACATGCCAGTTCAATGAGGACATTTTTTCAACTAAAGTCCTCTAGGTTTTGTTCAGCTGACAAAAATACTGACTAGTGAAATCGCTTCTCTGTCATTATGACCCACAAAGACCTCAGTATTTAGCCATAATCTGTCCTGTTCTCAAGATGTCATTTTAATATTAATATCACAGTTTAAAACATTAGATATTTTAAGATATTGCAACAGTTGAAAAGTCCAAGTGCTCCTTAAAAAACAAGTGTATCTTCAAAAGTCAAAAGTCTCTGAACTGTGGGTCCTTGCAACATTAAAAAAAAAAAAATGTTACATGCTTTCTTACTCTAATGGAGAAGAACCAGGGCATAGTCACAATTAAACCAAATGGAAACCAACTTTCAGCAGTATAAACATTAGGCTCCCACTCCTGGAAATGAAACACTATCTCCTGGGCTCCCAAGTGGACAGCTCCACTTTCTCAGAGGTGCTACCAGCAGCACACAGATTGTCCCCCAGGGTCAAGCCAGTGCCGCATCATTTGTTTTTCTGGGCTGTCATTCTATCCTACTGTAATCTCCTTTATGTTTTCCACTGTACCTGAGGCTCAACCTTCTCCTACATAGACAGAGGGAAGGGATTATTTGTCTTACATGTCCTGGTCACACTCCATCATTAAGAGAAGCCAAAGCAGGAACTCAAGGCAGTCAGGGGGGCAGAGAACTGAGACTGAGACCATGGAGGAAACTGCTTACTGACTTGCTCTTCAGGGCTTGCTCAGCCTGCTTTCTTATAAAATAAGAACCACCTGATGCCCAGGGGTGACACCACCCACAGTTGGCTGGTCCCTCCCATATTGATGATTAATAGCAAAATGCCTCTGCAGATTTGCCTGAAGATGATCTAATGCAGACATTTTCTTAGCTGAGATTCCTGTTTTCAGATGAATCTACTTTGTATCAAGTAAGACAGACAAAACTAGACAGGACACCTCATCATTTCAAAATGGTATACAGGGGAACCAAAAAATTGCCTATCTAGTAATAGTGCTGGCCATCAAATCATAATGGTCTGAGTTCAGTTCCCAGAACCCACATAAAATGATATATAGCTGTAATCCCAGCACTTCTCAGAGAAACCTGCTTCAACGACATGGAAGCCAAGGATACTCTTGAAAGTTGTCCTGAGCGTCTCCCATGAGCCGTAGCACACACCCACAAACATAGTAAATGAACACATTTATAAAGCTTAATGTTGTATTGAGCTGTCTACTAGCTATGGGTACAAGTTGGGAATGACTAATTGTTAGTTTTTTTCCGTAGTTTTACAAGTATTTAAATACAGAAGGTGATTTGTCTGATATCATTGCACATTCAAAATGTTCCAAAGATTGTGAATTGAGATATATGTTGAAATGCTTCGTGAATGTTTAGTGTTCTCAAGGAGACATACCTCACCATACATGAATCCCAATGTTTCTATTGTGACTGTCCTCAAGTGGACTTGAAAAGCATGCAATCTGAACATGTTACAAACTGTTTCCCAGCATAAAACCAGCATTTCTGTGTTTACTCATTAGTAAGCACAGTCTCAGTTGTTACTCTTCATTTGTTTTGCAGCAGCCAACTGGTGGAGAAATTCTGTGACTATAATGAAAGTCATCAGTATCCAGAAATCTTCAGCTGCAATCCAGGGCAGTCTGCGAGCCGGAAATCTTGTCCAGGACTTGCTACATTTGAAAAGAATGTCCGTGTAGAAGGTAGAATTGGCCACTCATCTCCGGGTGTGCTCCTGAACCATCAGGTAGGACCTTGTGAAGACCAGGAACATGGACAGACGTTGTATAAACACAGGGAGTTTGGGAGAAGCTCCAGTTCTCCTTCACCCCTTCAGATGCATAAAAGCACTCACACTGGAGAGAAGCCTTCTAAAAATAAGGACTATAAAGAAGACCTTCCATGTGTCAGATCTGGCCAAATGTATGAACAAAATGACTTTTCAAAGAAGTCTTATGTGCACAAGCCATGTGGGAAAGGCTTCACGTATCCCAGTCCTTTACCAAGGCATGAGAAGAGTCACAGTGTTAAGAAGCCCTACGTGTGTGAACTGTGTGGGAAAGGCTTTGCTCGGTTTGGTAACCTTTTAAGGCATCAGAGAACTGACACGGGTGAGAATCCTTTTCTGCCTGATCATTATGCAAAAACTCTTCCTCGTTCTGCTTGCCTTAGAAGAAGAATGAGTATTCACAATGGTGAGAAACCCTATGTGTGTGACCAGTGTGGGAAAACTTTTCTTGATTCTACTTACTTTCGAATACATAGAAGGATTCACACTGGTGTGAAACCCTACGTGTGTAAGCAATGTGGGAAGGCCTTCACTGCTTCTCGGTACCTCAAATCACATGAACTGACTCACACTCGGGAAAAGTCTTATGCTTGTGAGCAGTGTGGGAGCGCCTTCACGTTTTGGTATCAATTTCAGAAGCACAAAGTAACTCACAGTGGTGTGAATCCTTACATTTGTAAGCAATGTGGGAAAGGCTTTACTTACTCCAGTTCCCTAAAAACTCATGAAAGAATTCACACTGGTCAGAAGCCCTATGTGTGTAAGCACTGTGGGAAAACCTTTGGTAGTTCCGGTAACCTTAAAAGACACGGAAGTACTCACACTGGTGAGAGACTCTACGTATGCAAGCAGTGTGGGAAGTCATTCAATAATCACAGTTCCTTTCAGTTCCACAATCGAATGCATACTGGAGAGAACCCCTACAAGTGTAAGCAGTGTGGGAAGGATTTAGCTTCTTCTTCCTCCCTTCAGAGCCACGAAAGGAATCACTCTGGAGAGAAGCCTTATGCGTGTTTGCAGTGTGGGAAAGCTTTCAGTTCTGACAGCTCTCTTCGGAAACATAAAATAATGCATAGTGAAGAAAAACCCTATGTATGTAAGCACTGCGGGAAGTCTTTTCGCCGCTTTTTTGAGGTTCGGGTGCATGAACGAATCCACAGTAGCGAGAGACCCTATGAATGCGAGACATGTGGAAGAGGCTTTTTGAGTTCAACTCATTTGCGAAGACATGTACCTATTCATAGTAGAACAGATAAGAATGTTAGTAAATGACATGAGATACTGTCTGCTAGCTCTCACAAAGTCAGACAACATGATTAGATTACGCTAGCAATGTGGGGAAATAACAAACAAACTCCAGAGAAGGCATCCTTTTGAATTGGTGTAGATATTACTACTAAAAATTCTCTTCTAATATACATGGAAGCAGACACTGGAGAAAAGCTGCAAGCCACATGATAAAGTCTTCAGAGCTCTTTTCATTGTGGAGAAGATGTGAAATCGCTCACACTGGAGAGAAAGCTTATGCCTGCCATGTGGAAAGCCTTTAGTTCTTAGGGGCCTTTCCAGAGACATTGTAGTCGTCATTTGGAGAGAAAACCTTCGTATATAATGTGGCAATTTGAATAAGAATGCTCCAAATATGCTTATATATTTGAATGTTTAATTACCAGGGAGTGGAACTGTTTTGAAAGGCTTATAAGAATTAGAAGGTGTGATCCTTTTTGGAGTAGATGTGAACTTTTTTGAGTTGTGATTGAGGTTTCTGAAGCCCATGCCAGATGCAGTCACTTGATCTCTGTGTGTGTGGATCAGGATGTAGTTCTCAGCTACTGCTTAAGCCCCCAGACATGGTGCTCATGGTCTCCGTCGCTGAAACTGTAAGCAAGCTCCCAATTAAATGCTTTGTCTTATAAGGGCTCCTTTGTCATAGTGTCTCGTCACAGCAGTAGAACAATGTCTTAAGACATATAGAGAATCTTACAAAACTTTCAGCCATCCCAGGTTTTTTTTTTTCTTAATAGACATGAAATAAATCACTGTGGGGTAGCCTAACATACAGGATTTGTGAAGTCTCCATAATCACCTTGGCAGCACTTAAAAGGAATGCATTGAGAAAACTCCTGGCATTAGAAAGCGTGAGGGAAGATTTCTGGGTTCAACTCAAAAATTAAGAAATAGCTAGGTTTGGGAAATGAGTTTGATTAAAAGAGGTAGTTGATTTTAGTCGATCTCATGTACAAGTCTGCGCTCCCTCTGGTGGTCAGTCCTTCCCAGGGCTGAGACTTGCTACAAATATCACCGGATATGGTGGCCTGAGCATGTAATCCAAGCTCTTGAGAAGGATTCCAAGTTTCACAACTGTGTGGCCTATGTATTGAATTCCTGGTATTCCCAGGGAAACTGGGTTCCCCTTTTAGGGATTATATCTTGATAATAGTAGAATTTAACAAGTGAGCCTAGAAGAAATCTCAATTTAATAATCTCAAGTTTGAGTAAAAAGCCACAAACCAGGCAAGCTATAGGCAAACTATAGGTCTTGAAGGAAGTGTGTGCTAGTGTCTTCCCCCCATTCTTTCCCTCCCTCTCTAACCCCTTCTCCCTTTTTAACTTTAAATTTTTTTATTTCACAAATGTGAGTGTTTTGCTTGCATCTCTATCTGTGTTCCATGTGTGGACCTGATGCCCAAGTAGGCCAGAAGAAGGCATTGGACCCCCAAGAAGTGGAGTTACAGATGGTTTGAACCTCCATGTTGGGATGTTGGGAATTAACACCAGGTCCTCTGAAGAGCTGTCAGTGCACCTAGCCACTAAGCCATGTCTCCATCCCCTCCTGTTTCTTTGAAGCAGGCTTGGCCTAGGTAATAACTGCCAGATAACTTGATTCGTAGTGTATAGCCCAGATTGTCCTTACACTCACTACAATGCTCCTGCCTTATTCTGTCATCACAGTTTGAAGTAGTATTTTGGCAAGAAGTATATGTTTTCATTTTCAAAAAATGCACAGCAAAAAATATTCAGTTGCCCATTTCCTGCATTTTAAGCAAGTGCTTTCCTTTATATACAAGTCTGGTCTTCTTTGATAGATAGGTGAGCACAGACACCAAGCGCTTTCCTTTATATACAAGTCTGGTCTTCTTTGGTAGATAGGTGAACACAGACACCATTGGCTCCATCTTATTACATATTATTAGTTTCTGAAGTGGTCACGCCTAACAGCATCAAGTATATTTAACCACAAATAGGCATTCTAACCATGAAGAGACACAGATAGCAAGATGCTGCTGCAGTTTGACTTGGTGACCACCTTGCCTCCTCGATGATTTGGAGTGATCTCCTTGGAAAAGTGGAAGCTTTTTGAAACCATGCATACCTATAATTTAGTCAGTTGCAGTTATTTTGGTGCATGACTTAATGGGTAAGTATGGCCGTGATAAACACAGCAGTGATAAACACATGGCAGTAGTGGTGCATGCTTTAATCCTAGCATTTGGGAGGCAGAGGCAGATGGATTTCTGAGTTTGAGGCCAGCCTGGTCTACAGAGTGAGTTCCAGGACAGCCAGGGCTACACAGAGAAACTCTGTCTCGAAAAACCGAAAAAAAAAAAAAAAACAACAACAACAAAAAACCCCACCACAAGTCAAACAACTTGGGGAGGAAGGGTTTATCTGACTTAGACTTCAAATCACAGTTCATCAGCAAAGGAAATCAAGACAGGAACTCAGGACAGGAACCTGGAGGCTAATGCAGAGGTCGTGGAGGAGTGCTGGTCACTGGCTTGCTCACAGTGGCTTGTCAACCTGTTTTCTTATAGAACCCAAGACCACCAGCCCAGGGATGGCACCATCCATAATGGGCTGGGCCCTCCCCATCAACCTCGAAGTGAGAAAATGCTCTACAGCCCAGTCTTGAAGCATTTTCCTAATACTGGTTCCATCGTCTCAAATGATTGTAGCCTGTGTCAAGTTGGCATAACTAACCAGTACAGTGCAAGAATATGTGAAAGGAAAGGACAGCAGTGCTTTGTATGTGTGACTTGCTGATGTTCCCATTCAGCTGATGTTCTTCATTCATGAGCCAACCTGTCAAGACCAGCTTTGTTTTCCTAAGGTGCTCAGGTTGCCAATCTCATACCCAGAATCATGCCTTCCTATTTTTTTCAGTGTCCCTCACGTTACCATAGTCAACCTAACATTTAAAACTTTTATTTTTATATATTTATGTATAAATATGACACATTAACATTTTTTATATTTATTTATATGTGTGAGTATGGACATGTGTGATGGTGGCCCCAGAGGCCAAGAGGTCATTAGATGCCTTAAGTATATTGGTTCTCAACCTGTGGTTTGGGGACCTTTTAACAACCCTCTCTCTCCAAAAAAATATTTACATTACAGTTCTTAAGAGCAACATTACAGTTATGAAGTAGCAACAAAAGTAATGTAATGGTTTCAGTCACCAAATGAGGAACTGTATTAAAGGGTTGCAGCATTTGGGAAGCTTGAGAACCACTCACACTACCTTAGAGCTAGCTGGAGTTAGTTGGGAGCTGACCGTAGGTGCTAGGAACTGAAGTGTGGTCCTGCCCAAGAGCACAATGCTCTTAGTCACCGAGCTGTATACCCATATCCTAAACATAGTGTTTGTTTTCACCACAACAAAGAGAAACCTCTAGTACAGCAGCAGCCTGGATGGCTAATGGGGCTCCATCTGAAAGCCTCTGAGGATTTGCTCTCCTATTCTCAGACCCACACACAGTCATGCACATGTAAACAAAATTAAAAAGAAATACTTTACAACAGCATTTTGTTTCCAATTTTGTTATTGTTTTGTTTCTGATGCAGGTGTGGGGGTAATGAGGGCTGGGCCCAGAACTTCACATAAACTCTACAAAGGCACTGTCACTGAGAAGGCTAGGCTGGCTGTATTGACAAGCTTCAAATTGGCAGTTCAGGAGACAGGCCTAAATCTCTGTTTCCAAGAACTGGACAAGTCCAGCCAAGCCCAGGCAAGTCAGTTACTAGAAAAAACAAAAACAAACAAACAAACAAAAAAACCCAGGCTTCAGGCAGCTAGTCAGAAGCTGCCGGGCCACCTGACCTGAGGGAAGGACGATGGGTCAGCGGTAGTTTCCAGCCGCCACATCCCATAATCGCTCTGGAATGTCCCTAGATATGAACTCAACAGATTAAGATAGAGGTCACCTACCTCGGAATTCCCCTAATGTGCTTTAAGTCAGGCCTGCGAGCTCACTTCTGGGATCTCTCTATCTTGGTAATGGGAGACCCCAGCATGCCGGCTTCTACAGAATAAAACACTCTTTGTGTTTACACACTACTTGAGTTCGGCGTATCATTCTTCCAAGAATCATGGACCCTTGCCCCATTAAGATGCCTCTCTAGCCCTGCAGTCATCCTGGAAAGTACTTGGCCTTTGGGATTGGCTTTGAGGGAGACCAAAATAGCCAAAGAGTAGGAAATCAGATATAGCCGCTGATTATTGTTCTGAAAGGAGTTTCCCACCCAGCCCCTAGGTCTGTAATTGCCTTCACGCCCCTGTGCTTTCTTCATCACCCCCTACTGGTGCTCAATGGTGCTCCTGCTTGGCTGACACCAGGATTCTGGGATCAGAAGTGATGAGTCTGTAATTTGATCTCAGTTGCTTCTTCTGTTACTCTGGCTTGGGGAGGCCGGCCTAGGGCTCACTGCCCTATCGTGGTCTTGAGTGCTTGTATTGGCCAACAAGGATTTGCGCCTTAAGTGAAGCGATCTGCCAGTATCACGTGTATTTCTATTCCTGTACATTAGGTACCCGTGTGTTCTTTGAAAGTAGATCCTAGAATGCAGTCCTTGGTATCCAGGTCGCCTTCACTGACTGGAGGAGAGGCAGGAGGACACCAGAACATCCAGAGTCTGGAAATGGTGAGTGCTGCAATCTGGAGGCGGTAAGGGATACCCGACCGACCTCCTGCATGGCGCTGAGTCTGGTCTGCTCTAACCCGCTGGTCCCTTCTGCTTCTGGGATCATGCTGGGTGGAGCTGGGCCAGCAGGCAGAGCCTGGGTTCTGTCCTTATCTGAGCTTCGGGGATGCAACCTCTTAGCTTAGCGCCCGCTGCCCGGGTCCCTACAGTCTGGGTCGTGTCGGCAGACAGTGCGTGGGCCACCTTAGGAGTCAAACTGGGGCTCTTTTGCAGAGATAAGTGAGTGGAATCCGCATGGATGATAGCTATTAAATCACTGCCCCGCTCTCTCCCTAAAATCTCGCCACACTCTAGGTAATGTCTCAGGGCGCAGCTACTCAGAGTATTTGTGACTCTCAGTGTTACAAACTAACAAAATGGGGCAGAGAAGCATCCGGACATAATCACAGCCCGCGGAGCCACTTTATTGGAATAGTGATGGACCGCTTTATTCCCTGGATGAGTTGAGTCCATCTAACAGGGCTTGTGGATTTACAAGGTAGCCACCAGGAAGTTCAAGCTTTTTGTTGGTTTGGTTCGGTTCGGTTGGGAACAGAGGGTTAGGGGAACTCCATCCCCTGGCATCTTGTTTCTGCATTTAGAGCGAAATTAATAGTCAGGCTGGGATTGAGAATTTTTTATAACTAGGGGCTATTGCCCTGCACAGCCTGACTCAATTTCTCATGACCCGAGGTTTTTAATCCACCCAAAGAGCAGCTGCAGTTAAGGTGGGAAAAATGACTGGATGCAGGATAGCTTAGAGTCATGGCTCTCTAGTGGTTTGTAGAGGGAGGGGGATGTGCTTTTCCAGTCAGGGTTTCTCTGTGTAGCCTCTGGCTGTCCTGGAACCCACTTGTGGATCGGGCTGATCTCAGACTCAGAATTGTCTCCCCCCTCTTTCTCCCCCTCCCCCTACTCTCCCTCCCCCTCCCCGATCCCCACTTCCCCTCCCTTTCAAGGGCTGGTACTAAAGGCCTGCACCACCACACCCCTTTTCAGGGCTCTAATCAGGTGTCTTGACTGTATTTATGCCTATCTGAGGGTATCAGCTTTCCTGGAACTGAAGTTACAAGCAGATGTGAACTGCTATATGGGTGCTGGAAATTGAACCAGGGTCCTAACCTCTGAGCCATCTCTTCCACCTCTTGATAACCATTTTTTAATTATTTATTTTATGTATATGAGTGCTCTATCTGTGTATACGCCTGTGTGCCAGATCCCATTCCAGATGTTTGTGAACCACCATGTGGTTTCTGGGAACTGAACTCAGGACCTCTGGAATTCGGAAGAGCAGCCAATGCTCTTAACCCCTAAGCCATCTCTCCAACCCTTTGAAAACCATTTTTAATGGTCACTTATTGCACTTATTGTTGTGCTTTATAAAAAGACCAGAATATGTTTGGTAGAGGTCAGTCTGGTGAGGTGGGAGGGATGCACCTGCCAGCCCATGGTGAGGCATCCCTTCTCCCTGAGGGACCAGCCATATTGTAGAAGAGAGTTTATTTAGGGCATGGGGAGGAGAGTTGAGAAGGGAGTAGAGACAGAGAAAGACAGAAGGCGGGGGTAGGGGGAGAGGCTGGCCAGGAACACATAGGAAGAGAAGGAGAAAGGGGTCAGGGAGAGAAGAGAGTCAGAGAGAGAAGGGGCAGAGAGCAATTTTTGCTTTTATAAGCTGCCCTTGGGATGACTTTGAGTATTCAATAAGTAAGAAAGACACCTAAACCAATAGAAGAAGCCATTTGGAATAAGACTTCCATTTTGAGTAGGGGTCGAGTGACGTTTTAAGTTCCCAAACTGCCATGGGAATTGACATTCTGACATCCTGGTTGGCAAGTTAACTCATGAATGTTAGGCAAGCAACACCTGTGTCACCCTGCCACAGTTGAATAACCCAACCAATGAGGACAGGATAAATGTACAACAAAGACATATTCCTAAGGAAATCCCCTATCCCTAAATCCTGAATGATGGAATAACTTGGCACAGATGTTTGTGGATTTCACACTTAAAAGGTCTATAGGATTCTGGCTGGGGGGCAGGTTGCAAGCAGCTCCATCAGTCCTGGGGCAAATGCTTAATAAACTATTCCTGTCTGACTAAGGTCTGTGTTCCTGTGATTTGTGAGGAGACCCCCCTGGACCCCAACAATGGAAGAAAGAGATCTACGGAAGCCCCTAAGTCCTGAAATGAGATCAAAGTGAAGTAGAGGCCAGGGATGTGAAATGCAAGCAGTCCGGGTCAAGGTGCGGTTCCACCCTGCACGGACCCACCACTAGTGGGCTTCAGGCTCACCCTGTTAGGTGATCTGACAGATTGTTAGAAGGGTGTTAAGTCCCTTTCTGAGAGACAAGCTCTCCTCTCTGATTGGTTCCTTCTTTCTTTTTCCCCCTCTTCCCTCACCTTCTTGCTCCGGCCCAAAGGTTTTTTATTTATTAATTATATGAAACTACACTGTAGCTATCTTCAGACACCCATAAGAGGGCATCAGACCCCATTACAGATGGTTGTGAGCCATATGGTTGTTAGGATTTGAACTCAGGACCTCCAGAAGAGCAGTCAGTGCTTTTAACCACTGAGCCATCTCACCAGCCCCCCTTCTCCTTCTTTCAGCCTGAGATTCCTAAGGAGATTCCCATTTCTTTGGGGTCCGTTGTTTCAGAGTCTCTTTAGAACATCCTCAATTCTGGCAGGCTGGCTACAATGGCAAAATGTATTGAATACTCAAATTCAACAGCATTTTTGGTTTCATTGTGTTAGGGTCCGTGGTTCTTAGACTCAACTAGCTCTATCTCTAGGTACATTCCAGAACCATTGCTGGGACATGGGGGAATGTTGCTGGGACTGTTGCTGGGGAAGTCTGAAAACTGTTGCTGACTCTTTGCCCTTTCCTCTGGCCAGGTGGCCAGACAGCTTCTGACAGCAGGGCACTTTATGACTGGTTGCCTGAGGCCTAGGTTTTTTTTTCAGTCACTGACTTGTGTCAGCTATGCCAGCATAGCTGACTGAGTTCCTTGGATCGGAGGAGGGCTGAGGGCGAGAGAAAGAAAGACAAGCAGTCATCTGGTAAAGAACCAAATGCTATATTTTCAACTGTGTAGATCCCTTTTATACTCCCCACAAAACAGGAACACAAACAGGAACAGGAATAAAAACAGGAACAAGGAGATACACTTGGCAGCCTACCACCTAAGTTTGGATTTCTCCTTGAGCAGTCTTCTCAGGGAAATGCATAGAGATGGAGGATCGGGCATAACAGCACAGGTGCAGAGGATGGTGACTCACAGACTTGCCTGTAGTTTCCTAGACTTGCCCAGTTCTTGGAAACAGGGATTTAGGCCTAGTCTTCTGAACTTCCAATTTGAAGCCTGTCATGGAGTCAGCCTGTCTCAATTGATGGTGAAGACCCCCACTCCGGGGAGACCCTCACTCAAGTCTCGGGATGACGCGACCACCCAGTAATTCTCGAAAGACTCCGAAACTGGATGCAACAGCAGAGGTTTATTCGGGAGGAACAGTCGGCTGTTGATCAATTCGTTTGCTCACGCAGGAGCTGAATTGACCCCGACTGACGGTCTGAGGAGAGTTTTTAAAGGGGAAAACCACAAACCAGGGGATGAGGAGGGGGCGAGTGGTTGCCAAGGAGACATAACATAAAAATATTGGAACATTCCAGAGGAACCCATCAGGGTCGTGTGAAAACACTCTGTACACTTATTTTTCTCAGGAATGCGGTCCTGCCCTGTCATTGTGGTCCTGCCCAGTCACTGTGGTCACCAGTTCCTTGGTTCCACCTAGCTGAATTGCATTCTTCTCTTTTTGGGGTTAGCCAGTTCCCATAACTGGCCAGTCCACATTCTTAGCCTGCTTCAGAGAAAATTTTCCATGCCTTTTAAAGAAAAACCTAAAGAAGAACCTATGTATATTTTATAAAATGATCTTTATAATTTTTCATTTTACATTGGTAGTTTGCCAAGTAAGCCTGACTTTGCTTCCTACCTGCTCAGTGGCAGTGTGAGCTCTTTTATTCCAGTTTTTTATCCTGTTTGGTTTTTTTGAGACTAAGTCTTACTCCTCTTGGGCTGAAACTGCTTATAACAGGCCTCACTGTGGTAGAATTCAGAGAGAGCAGCCTGGCTTGCTTCCAGGGTGCTGTCAGTAAAAGAATGTGCCACCATGCTTTCCCTGTAATCCCAATTTTGTTGTTGCATTTGTTTGGTTTTTGAGACATCGTTTAACCGTTTTTGCACTAGCTGACATGCTACTCCCTCTGTAAGCAGAGCAGGCTGGCACTGGACTCAGAGCTGCCTGGCTCTGCCTCCCGAGTGCTGGCATGGAAGGTGTGTACTACCGCACCTAGCCCTTTGATTCCAGTTTGAATCAGTGACATCAACTGATAGGTTATTTTCCTCCAATCCAAGTCAGATTACATTATATGAAAGGCAAGTTTATTATATTAAAGTTTATTGGGACTGAAGCCAAGGGAGCCGCCACAGGGGTGGTGGGAGGAGAAATAGAGAAAAGGGCAAAGAGAAAGAAGAGAAGGAGAGACCAAAATGCCTGCATTATATAGGAAGGAGTCTCTGGGTGAAGGGTATGCCAGGTGGGGACTGAGGGATGCTGGGAGAACCTGGAGGCCAGGTCTGCTTTGGTATGTAAAATATACACCTCAGTCCCTTGTCCGAAACCAAACATCAGCCACACCCCTCACATTGACATTTCACATGAGAGACAACGCAGATCACAGAATGGCTAGGAAATGGTTAAAGAGGCGGCAGAGATCCCTCTTGACATCATAGACAGAGAGCTGAAGTAGGTGAGGCAGAGTCTGTAGGGGACCAGATAAGGTTTGCGGTGTGGCTGCAGGAGTTCCTGTGTAAAGTGACACATGACCAGTTTCTGGTTTGATGAAGGGAAGGTTTTTATTGCAGAGATGAGAGACAGACCTGCCTGAGCCATCTGCATGGCCAGAGCCAGAGGAGAGCAGCAGGGGTTACAGAATAGAGAATCCATCGTAACAGATGTGTAACAGGTACATATGTTAACACCATACTTTTGCCATGCTAATAGGTGCAGCAGGCAGCCCTAGGTGGTCCCTCCCATTTTCCAGAGGCAATCTCTCAACCGGAAATGCTCTTATCCTCCAGGTTAAGCTCATTGGGCTGCCTTTTGGAGTTTGGGAATTGGTGTATCTCCAGAATCTGACATCCCAGCCTTTGGTTGATGATAAGAGGAGACAATGATCCCAACTGTAAATGCTTCTCAGCAGAAATTAGGGGTCCAGGAAGTCTGAAATTCTGGTCAAAGGCTAGGAGAGGGAGGAGATTCAGGTATGGCAGGGCATATTTCTCGATAGTTTAAGGGTCTATGATTCACTAAAGAATGATATCCTGGATTTAAATAGATGTAAATGTAAAGAATGTTTTATTCTATAGAAGTCTAGCATGATGGAGTTTCTCATTATCAAGATAGACAACCTAGTGAGTTCAAATGCCTGATTTAAAGCACATTAGGGTAGGTGGGCTTTGTCTTACTCTATCTCTAGTAACTGGCTTGCCTGGGCTTGCCCAGTTCTTGGGCCTCGGCTCCTAAACTGCCAATTTGAAGTCTATCATGGAGTCAGCCTAGCCTTCTCATTAGCAGCTGGTTGGCAGGTCCAGCCTGAAGAGACTGGAAGCAATCACAGTGGCTGAGCTGGTTTACACTGACTTCTGCAAATCCAGAGCTGACTGATTCTGCAGTACCTCCCCGGGGCCAGCATGACTCTTTGGAACAAATGTACAGGCTGCAGATGATTCCTTGGGTGATGTCTGTTAGCTGGATGGAAATCTGCTGGGACAGATACTGTAATGGTTCATGATTTGCCAAAAAATTATACCTCAGACTCTGTGGGGAAAATTTAAAAAGGCCGCCACAGCGACGCAAGCCCCAGAGGGGCTTCCGCCGCCGTGGCGGGTCCCACATTAGAGAGAGAGGTCCTATGGTTCCAGCGGCCTGAGGGCCTTGGCAGCGGCAGGCCCCACTAACACGAGGAAGTCCTTGGTTCCAAAAAGGTTTATTGTCATGGCGGATAATAGATGGATCTAAGCATACCCCCCCAAAAAAACTCAGGGCAGTCCCGAGTTATATATATAGGGAGGGAGAAAGGGGGAGGATTGGGGGAGGATCTGGGGGAGGCATGTTTAATTTGCTCTGCCCTCTGGCCTTCATTAGTATGTAAATCCCTAGGGCCTGAGGCCTATAGCCTGGCCTATGTAGTAATTCTATGGAGACTGTGACCGCTTTTTCAGGATCCTGGGTTCTGGGGGACGTTGAACTCCTGCCGGTTCTCATGTAGAATCTCGCCCAGAATCTACAGAGTCTCGGGGTTCTAGATGCTTGCTCAACCATGACCCAGGATACCCTTACGCAGTCCCACAAGACTCAAATAGCATGTCAACATAAAGAGTGTTTTATTCTGCAGAAGTCTGGCATGCTGGGGTCTCCCATTACCAAGACAGAGACCCCTGAAGTGAGCTTGCAGGCCTGATTTAATGCACATTAGGGGAATTCTGGGTAGGTGATCCCTATCTTAATCTGTTGAGTCCATCTCTAAGAACATTCCAGAACCGTTATGGGATGTGGCAGCTGGAAACTGTGGCTGGGGAACTTTGAAAACTGTTGCTGACCCATTGTCCTTGCCTCGGGTAGCAGGGCAGCTTCTGACTAGCTTCCTGAGCCTGTTTTTTGTTTTTTGTTTTTCCCTAGTAACTGACTTGCCTTGGCCTGCCTGAACTTGCCCAGTTCTTAGGCATAGTCTCCTGAACTGCCAATTTGAAGCCTGTCATGGAATCAGCCTAGCCTTCTCAATACACAGTCTATTTACAGAGACATAAAGTTACAGATTCAGATAAGGTAAAGTTAAGGAGTGTAGGTGGAAGTCTCTGTCTTGTCTGCTGTCTACTGCCACCCTGGCTCTCCTCTGCTCAGTTTCCTTGCAGCTCCACAGTCCCGACATGCCTTCCGGCAGTTTGTCTGGACAGCCTCCTTTCCCAGGAACTGTTTACCCCAGTTTAGACTGCCAGTAGGAATCCTCAACAGTCTTCCAAGTTTGTACTCTTTCTGGATACTTACATTTTGTTTACCTGCTGTTTACCACCTGAGACTGGTGAAAGCTCTTCCTCGGGGCAAATGTTTCAAATTGTAGAGAATGTTTCAGTTTGAAGGAAGATGTCCTATAAGAATGAGCTAGCTTTTAAACAATAGGGATTTGTTTTGATCCTCTCATGGAAGCAACACTAACCCAAGGATCAATGTGATAACAGTTTAAAAAAAATGGCACCCCATCAGAATATCCAAGTATGTGTCGGTCTTCTCTTTGAATTTTATAATGTGAAGACCCCATCAAATCTCCAACATGACCCTGGAGACATCAGATTCCATTTTAAGTTTCCCCTAGGAAGGTCACATTGAGTTTTTAAATTTTTGGTTCTTGGGCCTGGAAAAATAACTGAGCAGTTCAGAGCTCACTCTGCCTTTGCAGAGGACCCAGGCCTAGTTTCCCAACACCCACATCAGGGGACTCATAACTGCCTGTAACTCCAAATCAAGGGAGATTCAGCACCCTCTGCTGGCCTCTGACGACCCTACACTCAAATGCACATACCCTCATCACATACAAATATTAGAAATAAAACTAAAACGTTTAAAATAAATATTAAAAAAAACATTTTATGTGCTGTCAATGCTGTTCTCCAATTAGCATATCATAAGGATAACTGGCGTCCAAGGTTAACTTGTAAGGGATCCAGGATCAGGCTTCCTCTTTTACATTTTTAAATACTTTGTAAACTAGAATGACATTGGCCTAATTTCAGAGTCTTAGTTTATGTGATGATTCACCATTCTTTCTCAAATATCTAAAATTTTGTTTTTTAAAACAAAGCAAGAAGTGTTGGATTTTCTGAGTTACAGGCAATAATTACCCACCTGATGTAGATTCTGGGACTTGAACCCAGGTTCTCTACAAGACAGCAAATGATGTTGAGCTGTCTTTCCAGCTGTGCTCACTCATAAGCAAATCTGATACTGTGTGTACAGGATAAAGATGTATGGACATGAAGACAGTGCTTATACACAAATAGCTGAAAGAGGAATTTTAAGATAGTTAAATAGTATAACAAGAATACAAATAGTTAGAATTGCAGGTCAATTAGCTTGCTAACCCAAGGAAGGCCATTACAGGGGATGCAGAACAGGGAAACAAAGGTCAATTGAGTGTTCCGGGAATCTGTTCCCGGGGTATCTGACTTAGCCTCTGGAAAAACTCCCACCAGAGGTCCCAAGGACTTGTAAATTAGATTCAGCCCGATAGTCTATTGGCTCAGATAAGCATTCACACTGGGTCCCAAGGCCACAGAAACCAGAGACTGTTCTCGTGAGGTCTGCTTACACACATTACAGACATTTGAAATAACCAATTGTGTGTGATTACCCACAACCCTCTCCCTCCCCCCAGCCTTTACATATAAAAACCCTAAGCTATTAGGTCTCAGAGTCGATTACTCCTACCTCCTTCGTGAGGCACATGACGACCGGAAGTTTAGAAAAAGACCTGACTCATGTTATTACAGCAAGAGGTCTCTGGAGTGTCTTTGGGGGGGTTGCATCCTTCCTGGGCTCCCCCTGGAGGAGTCTTCCACAGCTGCCATAAAGGTAGCTCTTTAAGTCAAAGATTTTAAAGCTTTTACTTCCAGCTATGATTTGTCAGTTTTTGTGCTAGTGTTAATTTTATTGTTGTAAAGTGTTAATTAGACCTTCATCTAAACCCTGGCTGCATAAAGCCATGAATTTTAATAGAAACAAAGAAGACAAATTAGATGCAGTGACACAGATGCTACACAGATCTCTAAAAGCATGCAGTATCAGTTTGGTTTTGGATTTATCTATTAATTAATTAATTAATTAATTTTCGTGACAGGGTTTCTCTATGTGTAACCTTGGCTGTTTCACTCTGTAGACCAGCCTGGCCTCCAACTCACAGAGATCCACCTGCCTCTGCCTCCTGAGTGCTGGGATTAAAGGTGTGCACCAATACTGCCCAGCTGACTTTATTTATTTTTAAAAATATGATTTGAATTTCATACATGTAGACAATATCTTTGAGAATATCACATGCAGCACTCTTTCTCCTAACTTCTCCGTCCCCTCCCTGCCTAAATATGTCTTTTTTTTTTTCAGTTGGCCTACTGAAGACAGTTTTTCTGCTCCTGTGTGCATGATTCAAAAACCATGCTCTGGAGCACAGTTAACCTACCAAGGGACATAACTCCTCAATACTGGTGCGGGGCTTGTGAGCCCATCCTCCATGGATG